TGAAGAAGAGATGCGCATCAAATAACAAATGTTTGAATCTATTTCTATAATGAGTTTGGATTTAAGAAGTCACATTCATTTAGATAGGGTGCATGTCTCGCTTTAAAAATAAATAAACTTTGTTGAACACAATGAATTCAATTAAGTTGTGAGGACGAAGGGGGTGTGATCACCTCTTATATTTTGTAGAGAAAGTGAAAAAAGATTTAATGATTAGTATAAGTGAAATTATTTAGAACTCCAAAATTAAAAACAAATGTGGCGGAAGGGATATGATTGAGAAGAGAGATATAAGGGAGGGCATTTAACCTTCCTCCATTATTTCTTCCTTCTCCTCCCCCATGCTCTTTTTCTCTTCCGTTCTATTATTCCTTCTTGTTATTTTTGGTTGGTGATGGATTGCTGACAACTGAAACAACAATTTGGTGGGGTTAAGAGTTCTCTCAATACAAGGATCTTATAGTTGTACCAAATTATAACAGAAAAATATTTGTGGCATGAAAAATCAAAAAGTTATATTAGGATAATTATGTTCTTACTTAAATAAGTTCTCTAATTATATTATAAATTTTGTGTTATGATGTTTCAATTGTAATTTGAGAAAATAGTTTGATTAAGATAATAATTTGAAACTAAGGTAATTTAAATTTAAACATAAATTAGTACATGATCATTAAATTCATAAATCATTCAACAAATTATCTAATACTGCAATTGTGTTCCTACAACATTAAATGGTTGAGCTATGATTTCTTTTGATCACTTGGCCCTCGGTTTAATTGTTTCTCTGTTAGCAGTAGTGAGTACTTTTAATCATTTCATCCCTTTCAAAGATTGAGGCTTTTTAACAATACTGCTATATCTTTTTTTTTTTTTTTTTAATAAAACCCTTAGAGGCCTACACATTAAAGCACAAGAAAGTTACAAGTCCTTAAAGAAACTTCATCTCTCTAAAAGTGCGGTCTTTGAAGAAAAAATTACGAGCAAATGGTTCTACCTATTACAATGAGAAACAACAGAAAATAAAGTAACAAAACTAAGAAAACAAGGATAAAAAATAGCTCGACAAAGCAACATGAAGATCTTCAATCCCTGACATGGAGCCAAATAAGCCACCAAAAGCAACCTAAAAGATTTGGATCCAAAAGAGAATTCTACAAAAGGAAACAAAAGAAACAACCCAAAAGCCAACAAATTAACCATCACCCAACATCCAACCAAAGAAACAACACTAGAAACAAACAACCACAAGACTACTTCCACACACACCAACAACCAACAACAGCAACCCAACCACAATACACTAAGTTCCATAGAGAAAACCTAGAAACCCCATCTACAGAGTCAAACCCAAACCACAACACCTAAGACAATACGAAGAGAGCAAAAAACAACCTAACCAGACTGGTCAGCCACCAACCGAAGCAACACCAAACCCAAAGGCAAAATCGATAGAGGGGGGCCAAGAGCACCAAAGAGAAGCAACAAACAAAACCAATTACTTCATTTTAAACTTCCTCCTACCACTTTTTCCACTCCCACGAGAAAATACTTTTTCAACAATGGGACCCACATTCAAACTATACATCGCTTGGAACTCATCGACAGAGTCAACCAAGTCATTCCCAACACCCCCGCATGGCTAATAACCATACCCAACCCATCAGTTTGATCCAAACAACTATCCTTTAAATTCAACGACAATACACCTATATCTATTTTATTGTTTTTGTATGTTATAGGGCTTGTTATTACGCACTTCCACTTTAACATTGATTACTCTGCAAATAAAATACTTTAAAATTTATAGCGAAACTTTCTTGTATCCTCTTGAGAAAATTGACAAATTATGATAGTGTATAAGTGTTAAATTTTTTTTATTATAGTTTTGCTTCTCTTAAAAGAATATCTGAAGCCCTCTGAGTATTCTACAAATTTTTTTTATTATGGTTATACATTTGTAATTGCATAAATTTTATTTATGTTTTTTTTTTTTCAAACTTGTACTTCTACAAAGGAAGATTTAAACACAGTAATTTTTTGTAGAGCTAATGTTCTAATTTAGAAATTTTACATATTAAGTTTACCCATCTTAAAAAATTGGCTGTATCCGCCCTTGTGGTGAATGAATCCCAAATTTGTTAGAGCAATTTATCCTAAGGGAGCTCATCAATCACTTGATTACGACCAGGTGTCACTGGGCAAGTTAGGATTAATTATCCAAGTATTAGAGAATTGATTTGATTTAAAAGTTTCCCTTCACGAGTTTGCACTAATCAGTCACTATTAAAATCTTCTCTGAAGAATCACTTCTTTTATAATTATTTTAAAAAAATGCTATGAATTATATCTTAAGCTCTCTGGATATACATACTTGAAAGTTCTAATATAAAATAGTTTCATAAATTTTCATAAATATAACAATAATATTTTCTAACATTCATCATTTCAATACCAAAGAAACTTTTAATATCAAAAGTAATCTTTGTTATAAACCAAATTGTTGCGTCCTGGAATATTCGCGGCAGTAGAGAAATATATGTTTTAACGTCTTAGCATTGTACGAAGATCCAACACACAAGCAGATAAGAGAGGGGGTGAAACATTCATAAGAGACACCAGAGTTTTTACGTGGAAAACCCCTGAAAAGGGGGAAAAACCATGGGGATTGGCCCAGTTTGAATGAATCCACTAGTATTTCCAGTCGATTACAAATGATGCCCTTCCTTTAGAGAAGGCCTTGTATTGATGTAGCAAATATACATCATATAGATTGCATTACATGGTAGGAGTTACATATACATATTTGTTTGGTCGGAAGGACAGTAGTCGGCAGGAGACCGAGGTCAGAAAGACTGTTGTTTGTTGATGGAGGTCGGAAGGACTACAGTAGGCGACGGAGGTAGAAATGACCATAGTCGGCAAGAGACGGGGGTCAGAAAGACCGTTGTTTGTTGATGGAGGTTGGAAGGACCATAGCAGGCGACGGAGGTCGAAAAGACCGTAGTCGACAGTATTCTGGGGAGAACTATGGGAATCAGGTGGTGGCTTGGTGGAGCTCAAGGCCTCAAGTAGTGGTCCGGCGGAAGTATGGGCCTCACGTGATGTTCTAGTGAAGCACACGGCCTTTGATGATAATATGGCGAAGACAAGGGCCTTTGGCAAAGGTGAGGGCCTCTGGCGAAGGTGAAGGCCGCTGGTAAAAGTGATGGCCTCTGGCGAAGGTTAGGGCTTCTGACGAAGGTGAGGGCCTCTGGAGAAGGTGAGGGCCTCAGATGAAGACGTCAGGCCTGAAAGTCGGGCCTTAAGCAGAACGTTGGGCCTTCAGCAGAACGTCGGGCCTGAATGCCGGGCCTTCAGTAGAACGTCGGGCCTGAACATGTCACGCCCCAAGATCTAACTTGGAAAGAATCTCAATTAATTTCTCAAACAATTTACCAGAGCTATATAAACAACAAATAAACAGTCTATAAACATCTATAGTATTTAAAACATCAATATACAAGTCGATCCATATTTCAAAAGTTCATGTACAATACTCAGGAACTAAACTACAATCACAAGTACAGAAATCTATCCTGTCCTGAGTACAAAATAATCAAAATCATCAAAAGAACTAAAACCTGTAGATCCGGATCAATTTCTATCTTCTGCTCCCTTGCCTTGACCTGAAAATGTCAACCACATATAATGAGCTTTACAAAGCCCAGCAGGTCACCTAATACCTATAACTGAAATCAAAGCACGGCGATGCTATCAATATGCATGTCAGTCAATCAAATCCATATCAGTCAATGGTCAATGAGTCTATGCAATACTGAAATTCATAGTCAATGAAACCAGTCAATGCAGCAGCAGGCAAATCGATAAATCAAGCTCAATTAATACACGTCAATCTCGAAGAAATCCGTACACAGAAGAAAATCAATCAATGTGTCAAATCAGTCGTATCGAATCAATCAATCAAATCAAATCAAATATATGCTATCTAGTCAATAAAATCAATCGGAAAGGCAATACGATAAATCTCAATATATCCTATCAATAAATCAAATGTAGCAAGTCAATACAATGCAGAATCAATAGTATCAATAAATCTATAAGCAATATCAATATCCATATCCAAAGCATCAATGAATCTAACAATATCTATATCCATTAGAACCATATCAATGTCAATAATCAATAGTATCCATGCTCAATGATCAACAAAGAAATCGATGAAATCGTATGAAATCACATAATACAGTAAATCCAATCAAATCAATAAAGCAAAAATCGATAAAGCAGTAAATCCGTATGCCAATACAGTAAACATGCATTCGATACAATAATATTGAACAAGTACAATCAACTGGCTATTTAGACATTTTTTTTTTTTTTTTAATTTTGTGCGTTATTGTTCAGCAAGTTTACAAAAAAATCTTGTATGAATTCTTGAATGAACTTGCAATGAGCTTCCTCCATCACTGAAATTCTAAATTTTACAAAATAAATTTGTTCACCAAAAATTTATGAGGTTTTTTAAATGTTATAAACCAAATAAGCATTATAAGACTCATTTGAGATATTTTTCTTATTATTTTATTTTTGAGATAATATTTATAATTTTTATTTGATAATTAATTATTTATTAATTTTAAAAAATTTTATATTAAAAAGCTATTGCCTAGAGTAGCTTTTAAAAAATTTCTTTCACCATAGAAGTTTTGTCTTTTTTGATTATTTGCATAGAAAATATAGCAATAATATATTTTTTTTTAGAAATTTCTGTAATTAAAATTTATTTTTTAATTAGAATGTTAAATTAATTTTTTCTTAATAGCTTCAAAATTACTTCTAATCAAACCCGATATGACTTTCGTAAAGGTTCACAAACAGGAGAGGCATCTGACCCAGTCGGATCGGACGTAGGTCCGATTAACTAATTAATTAAGTGGTCCAACGCAAACCTTCCATATGTCGTCACGAATGCTTGTCATGTTAAATGTCGGCAAAAGCTGCAAAGGTTTCGCCGTCCACGAAGTTAAAAGAGTCCAAAAGGAATCACAAATTGAGTGATCGTGTAGAGAACCCGAATCCAACTCCAGCTAAGACCACGGATGCTATTCTCAGTGCTCTGCTTTTCTTCGAATGGCAAATGGGCGCCCTCGCACTTTCGCCCCTGTGCTTTCATTTACTTTGTCTTCGACAGCCGGTTTTCCTTTGTATTAATCTTCGTCAATCCTGTCTAGTACTAATTTCATGCGATTCTTGGCGGTTGCTTACTATTCTATGCGAAGTTGATCCCTTTTGCAGCTCATTCTGCACCTTATTTTATCGTCAACTATTTTCAATTTTGTAGGGCACCCAGCCTGCTCTCTTAACCTTATCGTCCGTAGCTGGGCGTCTAATTTGGGATTTCCTGTACATTAAGGACTTTATAGTTAGTGAAAAGGAAATGGTGGGAAGAGTAAGCAGAAATGTTGAGCAGGTGAGCCCGGAGAGATGCGTCGTATGGACGGAGCCTTCTGGTAAGCATCGGAAGTTGTGGCAACAAGGTATGAAGGTTCCAGTTGTATATTATCTCTGCAAGAATAGCCTTATGGAGCACCCCCATTTCATTGAAGTTCCCTTATCCTCGCCCGAAGGTCTCTACCTAAAAGGTCAGTAGACCAAATTGACGAATCCCATAAAAGCATTTATTTGGGTATCCATTGTAATCATCTGATTAAAGCTATTTGTTTGCTTGTAGATGTGATTAATCGTCTGGTTGTTTTGAGAGGAAATCACATGCCCACCATGTATTCATGGTCTTGCAAGAGGTTTGAGGAAAACCTAGATGGTAAAATTTGACAACAATCTCATTTTAAGGTGATGGGTTGTTGAATTAATTCATTTAAGTGTGATGCAGGAGCTACAGAAATGGATTTGTGTGGCAAGACCTTTCTGAGAATGATCTGATCATACCGGCCCTAGGAAATGATTACATCCTTAAGGGTTCACTGCTCCTTGATCAGGCTTCTGCAGGTAACAAAATGATTTGGAAAATTGCCGTTTAACATCTGTTTAGGGCATCTCCAACCGAAAATCCCATTTTTCACTCCAAAATGCAGTGAAACTAAAAAATGTCATGATTCATCTCCAATAGAACTCCATTTTGCGTCCTCTGCGAAGATATCCGTCTTTCTCCTCTTTCACGCAAATCCCGTAGAGACAGAGAAAAATAGCGTATGTGAACAGTGCGAATAGCGGAAGTTATGCCTTTGGAGTTTGGTTGGAGAAGGCCTTAGTGGTGTGCATCGTGCAACTAGGTTGCCTTGGCTTGTCTGCATTGTAGGGCTAGTCATCTGGTCATTAGGCGACTTGCAACCTACCTGGCAAGCTCCCACTTGTAGATATAAAAATTAAAGAATGCGAGTCCTGATCCGAAAGTGGGGAATGCGAGTACCTCATTTAGGCTGGAAAATAATGTTGGGAATTAGAATGTGATATAATTCAGATCATTGAGAAGAACAAATAAACCAAAGAAACTAAAATACAAAAAAAAAAAAAAATCTATAATTTTTACATGAGTTTGCCCAATTTATAATTAATTCCGGTTTGTACTAGTGCATATTTCATTATGATCATAATGATTAAATTTTATAAGTGAAATTCAATGGCCTCACGTACTCTCTAAGTTTTTAATATCTTACATCAAACCCTAATAACAATGCCTCTTTTATAATGAAAACATAGGACAATCATAATTAAATGTGAAATAACAGAACACCCTTAATGAAGCAAGTCAAAAGTATTGTATACTTTTTGGATGCATGTACTATATTTGTGTACTTCGTAGGACATCACTTAGGCTCTACAAGTTAACAAATAAAAGTTGGAGTCATTATAAAATTGATTATTATCTAGCATATCTATTTCATAGCATGTGATGTGAACAAGAGAACGAAGCATACGGTTGACAGTTATGGATTCAATAGGATATATGTCTTGTTTGAATTCCATATCATATTCGATTATTTGATTTAAACACAATGCACACTTGTTGCATGTTGTAAGGTTTACAACGGTAGAGTCAAAGAGTTTATTGTCTTAGAATTATAAGAAGATATATCACACACTGGCAAGAGAAGAGTTATAAGAGGCATCATATTTTTTATGTGCAAAACTCAAGAATGGAAAAATCATGGAGCTTGACTAGTTGAAATGGTTATATTAGTATATTTCTTCGATTACAATTGATGCTTCTCTTATGATTGGGGAGGTTTTGATGCAATATAGTAGACAAATTATATCATATAGATTTCGTGATGGAAGTTGGAAGAGCCCTTTGGCATGGAAGTTATCTTCAAGAGATTTTTTTGTTGTATGTTCTTCCTTGAGGGGAGATCAGGGACTAAGAAGTCTAATACAGATGTTGGTGCTGACATCAAGTGTCGACCACGTGCATCAGCCTTACAAGGTGATAATGTACATTGACATTGTCGGAGATGACATGCGATGAAATCAGTCGAGATTGTAGTCAAGCGATAATGGTAAGGAAACTGAAGTTGAGCAAGGAAGTTAAATGGTCGTAGTCTGGCGATGATGTTTGACCGTAGTCGGGTGATAGTGGTTAGAAGGCTGCATTCAGGTAATGGTGGTCAGAGTATCGTAATCGGTTACAGTGGTTAAAGAGCCGTAGACTGACGATATTTGTTGAAGGACCGTATTTTGGCGAGGTGGTCGGAGGGCTATAGTTGAGTGATAGTGGTTGAAGGATCATAGTTGGGTGAAGATGCTCATGTGACAATGGTTAAATGATTGTAATTAAGAGACGATAGATAGATGATTATAAACAGGCGAGGGTGGTTGAAGGATCGTAGTTGAGCGAGGGTGACTATAGGACCTGATTCAAACTACAGTGGTCAGAGCACCAGAGGTAGACGATGATGGTGGGAGGATATGAGTTTGGCGATGGTGATCGGTAGGCTATAGTTAGGCGATGCTAGTCAAAGGGCCATATTCAGGTGATAGTAGTTAGAGGACCATATTTCAGCAAGAGTGGTAAAGAGATGGTGGTCGGGCGACTATAGTCAAATGATAGTGGTCAAAAGATTATAATCGGATGACAGCGGTCGAAGAGCCATAGTTAGATGCTGAGGATTGTAGTTTGACAATGATGACTATTGGAGGATCGTAGTCGATGGTTGGTGGGTGCAGGTTCAACAATGATGATTTGATGGGGATGTGGTTTGGTGATGGTGGTCCATTGGTGATGGTATGACGACGGTGTTGATTTGGAAATATTTTCAAATCTAGATTAGCCTTAATTTGGAAGGCTTTGATGGCTCTTTATGTAATTAATTAGAGAGTTGATTGTTTTCCTGATTAAGTTGATTTGATAGGAGATTTGATTGATGCATTAATTAGGGGATTTGATTATTGCATAAATTGGGAGATTTATTTGACATGATTAGATTATGCCATATTGTAGCATTAATTAAAGTTTCCTTTGTAGCTTTGTTTCAAATCTTTAAATAAGGCTTGAGGGCTATTGTATTGTATGCATGAGATGAAGAGCCAAATTGTAATCCCTATTGTTCTCTAATATAGTGAAATCATCATCCCCTCCCCTTGGATGTAGGCAAGTTTTCTGGACCACGTAAATCGCCATGTTTTTTATGTTGTGTGATTTATGATTTATTATTTCTACTGTGTATTGCACAACAATTGGTATCAAAGCTGAATTTCAGTGGGATTTTCAGTGGTGGTTTGAAAAATGGGAGAAAATCTCTAAGACGTGATCTAGTCAGATTGAGTAAGCAAATGCTGTTGATTTTTATTTTGGATTTTTATTGAGTCGAATTGGTGCGATTCCGATGTCATTAGACATCTGCAATTTGGTGGAGGCTATAAGATATTGTGGAGTCATGGATACATTCACCTCAATGGTAGAGAAGACAGCGATCCATCAGGTGGTTATACATTCCGTCAAAATTGATGTGACGAAATTTGATGGCAAAGGAAACTTTGACATGTGTTGATGTGAGGTGATGGATGCACCGTGCTCTTTGAATCTAGAGGATGTTCTAGAGAGCAATGAACGTCCTGAGGAGATTTCAAAGAGAGATTGACTGAAGATGAATCAGAATGCTTGTGGCTTGATCGGAAATTTCCTATCTCAGGAGATTAAGTATTAGGTGATGATGTAGACTTCTTCCATGAAGTTGTGAAATTTTTTGGAGAATAAGTATATGACGAAGAGCTTGGAGAATCATCTCCATATGAAACGCAAATTCTATAGGTTTCAGATAAAATATTGGGTTACAATTTATGAGCATTTAAATGACTTTACAAAGCTATTGACATATCTTTTGAATTTGGATAAGGATGTTGGAGATGAAGGCAAGGTGCTCATTCTGTTAAATTCGCTCCCAGATGAGTACGAAAACTTCACGATGACACTCATTCATGGGAAGGAGGTCTTAAACTATGGTGAGGTGACTACTGCATTGTTGAATCATGAGTTCTGGCGTCGAGACAAGCAACATGCAGAGATGGATTTGGTTGAGGCTCTCACACTCCAACAAGAAAGATTTGAAAAGCAGAAGAATAAAAAGAGCGGTAGAAGCAAATAGGGCAAGTCTCGTAGGCACAGTCTTCGGAAGAATCAATGTGCTTTATGTTTGGAGCTTGTTCATTAGAAGAAAGATTGCCCGAAGCTGAAGGAGAAGGGAAAGAGAGTTTCCACGGAGGCTAATGCAAACCTTAGCTTGGAAGAGCGTGATGAAGACTTAGATGTATCACTATCTGCAGCTTCACAGAGTTTGTATTCAGACGGTTCATGTTGAATTTTGGATATTGGTGCTACCTATGTTGCACCGATACACCTATTTATGAAGGCGTGCTGTATCCGATACACCGATGCACAGATACGCCTCCGATACATCACTAATACGTGTCGGATACGCCAAAGCCGTATCCAATTAAAATACTATTTAATTTTAAAAAGACACACGTATCCGATATGCGTGTTCGTTAAAAAATAAGAAGAAACCTAAAAAAAGATGCGTCGTATTTACTTCCGCGACTGCGAGCAAGGTTTTCTCATTTCCGAGATGGATTTGAGTTTCTTGATGATATGGGAATATTAGAAATTACTAATCTTTCACTTCATGAGCTTGAATTAGAAGCTATGATATTTATTGAAGATGATACAAAAGTTCAAAGACAAACCACTGAAGAAGCTAATCATATCATTCCTTTTATTTAATGGTTGAAATTTCATGTGCTAGACAATTTATGTTTATGCTTTTATTGTTGTACTAAACATTTAATGCTTACTTATATTTTGATATTATAAGCTACAAGGCTACAAATGATGTTGTTGTCATTTTTGTTTTGTAATTTTAAATTTTATGCTTTGATTGCTTTCTTAATTTTTATGTATAATTTATATAAATTATAATGCCGTGTCCGCGTCGTACCCGTAGGTCCCGTATTCTGTATTTTTAAGAATTGATGTGTCCCGTATTCGTATCGTGTCGTACCCGTGTCGTCGTATCCATATCGGTGCAACATAGGGTACCTATCACATTTATCCCTCTAGAAAGTAGTTTTCTACATATAGGGAGCTTGATAGATGTGTTCAAACCATGAGAAATGATCAGGCTTGTCATACAGTTGGTGTAGGGAGCATCTTCATGAAAATGTTTGATGGTATTGTAAGAGAGCTGACTAATGTAAGACTTGTTCTACATATCAGAAAGAATTTGTTGTCTGTTGGGGCTTTAGATACTAAAGACTACAAGGTAGTCATTAAGGCAGGAGTTTTGAAGATATATCATGCAACAACAACAACAACAAGCCTTTATCCCACTATATGAGGCGAGAGCAAAACTAAGAATGCTCAAGAAAGTTGGATCCATTCGGGAATACATCAAGGATTTGACTAGTTTAGTCCTCAATATTCTCGACATGTTCGGTAAAGATGCTCTCTTCAACGTCATGGATGGTCTTCAAGCATGGGCCAAGACTGAACTAGG